CGGAGGTGCCGGGGGGTCCCCCCGCGGAGCCCCCCGCGCTGCTGAGCACGCACAGCCCCGCGGCGCGCAAGGTGGGCTCGCAGCAGCTGATCCCGCTCAGCCTGGCCGAGAGCCGGCCCGCGGGCCGGGCCCAGGGCCACGAGCGGCTGCTGAAGGCTCGGAGCATGGTGGAGACCTCCCGGCTGCCCCCGGGCAGCGACGCCGAGGACGAGCCCGAGGGCGGCCCGGGCAGCCCGGGGACGCTGCGGCGCGGGCTCCGCTCCACGTCCTACCGCCGGGCCGTGGTGAGCGGGGTGGACCTGGACGGCTCCGCCAACTGCAAGAAGAAGAACAGAATGTCCCAGCCCATCCTGAAAGCCGTGGTCGAGGATAAAGAGAAGTTTTCGAGCCTGGGCAGGATAAAGGTGAGGTGCGCTGGGCGGTGATGCTGCGGCTCCGCAGGAGCGTGATCTGCTGACTGTACGTTTTCTTTCAGTCTGCTTTTTGCTAACGCAAAACTTCTCGTAGTTACTGCTGTTTAGTTAATGCTGTTTTCTTAGCGAGGTGTTGGAGGGACACGATTCTGTTGAAATCTGGGCAGCTCAGCTCTGTGCTCCTGCTGGCGTTTCCTGCTGGATTCCCCAGCACACGGAGGGCTGCTCTCCCAGCCGAACTCATGGCTTAAAACCCGCTTCCCAGAAAGGAGTAAACAGGAAAAAAAGAGACATTGTCCTAATAAACTCTGCCTGCTAGAGCAGACAGAAAAATGAACTTCCTCCTGCTCTCCTCTATCTGAGACATCGCTTCTAAATTACTTGTAAAAATCACTGTGTGGTTTTTAAATCGATAGAGGCCACTTCAGTTATCTTAATTTTAATGCTTGCAAATAAAAGCAGAATGCCTGCTTTTAAATCTTGGTTGTGTCCCTTGGGAGAAGTAGGTAGATTTGAATTGCATGTTAATGCGTTAAAATTAAGTTACAAAGACTTACTAAAAATACTTTTTTGCTTGAACATATAGTGTAATATTGTATTTCCTTATTTCTAAATAGAAATTGTTACTTTATGAAATATGTTCATAGATATCTGTGGAGTGTTTGGAATTGTGTAATAAACTATACCAGGCTGAGGGCTGATGCTGTAGCTACTAAAATGATTATCAGCTTTATGTCAGTTTTCAGCCAAATTCAAAATTATGGTAATGGAAGCTTTTGTGAAAATGCTACAAGTGATGAAATAGGAATTGATCAAATTGTGAACAACTGCAGAGTAGGAAGTGATTTGGTTTGGTAATGGACTGAACAGTAAGTTATGTTCAGAATGGGAGGATGTCTCACTGTCCTGTCCTAACACACAGAGCTCTCAGCCAGCAGTGTTTTATTGGACTCTCAGCCCATAGGACATGTTGCACCAGAACAGCTGTTTGATTTCAGAGGTTTGTTTTGCTCTCAAGAGTTCACTTACAAAGTCCTTACAGTGGGTGTTGTGTGCAGTGTGGAAGGGCAGCCACTCAGTCCTGGGCCTTGTGGCCTCCCAGGAAAGCCTGAGACAGTGGGATGAGGGGCAGGTTCACTGAACCCCTCTCAAGCCAGTACATTGTGCTTTTGAAACACAGGGAAAACGAAGCATTTGGGGAAAATGCATGAGAGAAATGAAACTAGAGTAGCTTTCCACTTGCTGTGGTGAAACAGTTGTTTTTGTTGAACTCCTGTCCACCATCCAGAGTTTATAGGTTAGGGCCTGTTGATTTGGTGCCTCAGTGTTGAATAAAACAAGTTCTTGTTGCTGTGGTTCTTTTGCATTCTCTTTCTAACACAGATTTCTCTCTTTTCTGTTCAAACTACAGAAGATGCTGAAAGGCCAAGGGACATTCGATGGGGAAGGTGAGCCCTGTTCTGTACTGACTGATCTCTGTGTCCCAGGGGAAATGAACTTCAGGGTCGGTTTGCACATTTCCTTCCTGGGAAATCAAAGACTAAGTACCTTGCTTTTCAATAAACTGACTGAAATATTGGCCCTAAATATACGTCAGGGGTATTTTAAAGACTATAAAATGGCAGGCTAAAAATGGGGGGTTGTGTGAGGGGCTTCTTTTCCTCTTAACTCCTGTCCCTCCCAAAAGATGAGCTCTTGGATGTGTGTCTCAGCCCTGCCAGTTCTGTACAGTTCCTTGGGGAACCCTCCAGGTGGGCCCTGCCTTCCTGCCTGTTCCCTGAGGCTCTGCCCAGGTGCAGGACATTGTGGGTCACTGCCAGGCTGGGGTCACCTGCAGCACACACCTGGCTCACACAGCTGCTTCTCTTTTCCTTGAGTGCTGGGGCAAATCCTTTGGCTCTGCCATCATTTTCCTTTTGTGCTACCTTGGCTTCAAGTTTAGGTGCCAGAACAACATTGTCCATGTATTAGCATTTTTGTGGTACTTATTAATTCTGGGCTTTGCCAAGTTTGCTGCTTTTCCCAATATTTCAACAAGAAAAAAGATCTTTCCTGGCTATGAGCTATGGAAGTTTTATTGTAATAACTGCTACTCACTTGGCTTTTCTCTGCTTAATGCCTCCTTGAGCTCATCTCAGCTGCTGTGTTACCTTCCTCTTGTGTCTGTTTTCAAAACTTCCCACTGTGTTCTGTTTGCATCATCCCCTTTCCTACTCTTATTTTCTTCTCTCCTCCACTATCTCCTGATGACGTTTTCTAAATTCTCTTCCAGTGGTTCCCTTCTGTCTTTGACTGATCCCAGCTAATGCCTTTCTCTGCAGTGCCTCTCAGAATGCACTGGCTGTACACAATTTCCTCTCTTGTACAAACTCTACACCCTCCCCAAAGAGCTGAGACAGAGGCCAGACCTTGTCTAGCACTGGGGCTGCAGGGTCTGAGCAGGTGGGACAGGTCACCCTGCCAGGTGTGGGACCATGGGCTCGGGGCTGTGTGTGGAGCAGCCAGACTCTCCACTTTTCCCTTTTAGGGGAGGATTGGATGTTATCCAAAACCTGGCCCATCTAAAAGAACCTTTCAGAGCCCTTAATCCATCTGTGGATCATTGTGGGGTTGAGTTTCTCTGTCCTTTCTGTCTGCTGTTGCAAAGGGGGTGTGAGCAGGGAGGTTGGGAAGTGCACAGGGTGTGCTCCACTGATAGGACTGGATTAGTGATGACAGAACTCAAATAGGGTGTTTTGTCTTAAGGTTCATAGGCCTCGTGCTTACTCAGGAAAGCTTTGAATTTTCTGTTTGGAATAGTTCTGACCTTAATTCTGAAACTGGGATCGTTTCCTTCTCTTAGCGAAATGCAAAGCATTATTTAAAGCTGACAGAAAGGTGGCCATGGGCAGTGGCCTTGTGGTGGTCCTGAAGATGAAAATAGCTAGACCTCCAGATCAGTGACTGATCCACTGACACACAGTCCTGTTTGCTAAATGCTGGCTAATTGTAAAATAGGGTACAGCAAACCAAGGAAGAAAAAATTGTTTTCTGTTTTTTTCTTGACAAAGGCCACATCTGTTCTTTAATTCTGTCCGTGAGGATCTTTGGGAGCGGTACAGTGACCCATTGTCACTGCACTGCCCCATTGTCCAGCCCAAATCAGATGCTGGCTTTGTCTGCTGGAGTGGGGAGGCCACAGTGACACTTTGCTTTCTTTCATTGTTTAATTGTTACTTATAATGCTTAAGAGAGCAACTAAACCAACTTTCCAGCGATGACTGACACACTGTTGTTGTTTGACAGAAAATGCTGTATTATATCAGAACTATAAGGAGAAAGCTCTGGACATAGATTCTGATGAAGAGTCTGAGCCCCGAGAGCAGAAATCCGATGACAAGGTTGTTTTTCACTACAAGCCCCTGAGGTCGACGTGGAGCCAGCTCTCTGTGGTGAGTGTGTGATCCTGGCGTGGCCAGACACAGAGCTCGGGGTGGGCTCAAGCAAAGGCTTCTTGCTTTGCTGCTGCAGTTTTTGGCTGAAGTTTTTCATCTTCTTTTTCATTTCATAAGAACAACACAGGAGTCCTGGCCAATTACTGCTCTTTGTTTCACATAGAAAGCAGTGAAACCCAGAGAGTTCATTTTGGGGTCCTGTATTTGGCAAAGACACAACTTCAGTGATTCGTTAAAAAAAGGGTTTGTGTGAGTTCACTATCAGGGTGAATCAGACTGAAGAAAAGTTAGTTACAAACAAGCTGCTGCTGAATTGTTCTAAATCACTCCACGCCAGCTCTTAAGTTGTCTTGAGTGCAGATGTTTAATGGAAACCATTCTGAAAAGCAGAGTGTTGAGCTGGGGGTGCTCTGCTGTCCCAGCACAGGCTGGGAAGCATCTGCAGGGGCTGTGGCTTAATGGCATTGTTAAACAAAGGAAATTCAGCTGGTTTAATCAGCACTGCAATCTCACTGCCTTCCCTGCTAATAAACTGACAAATTACTGATAACAGTTGATATTTTTACAGGTTTTTGCCCTACATATGATTTTGAGACTAAAGAAATTGTAAAAATCCTGTGTTTCTGGGGTTAATTTTATCCTTTGATAGTTTCTGTGGCTTCTGGAAGGATATCCCTAAAATGAAGACTTTGGGGTTGGTTTTTGTTTATGCAACTTGTAGAATGTTGCCAATCCTCACCTCTCACCATTAGAGAGGTGATGCCATGACATGATCTCCTGGAGCATTGGGGTTTCTGGCTGTCCATGTCCTGTGCATATTCCAGTAAATGAGTGATCAAAGCCTCAGGGAGATCCCCGAAGGGTCTTTAGATGGCCTGGTTAGCAGAGCTAAATTACAGATGCTGGTGACCCTTTGCAGTGTAAGGTATTGAAATATGAATCCCCCTGATTCAATGATTATAAAAAAGGCAAGACGATGTGGTTTTGAAAAGATTTGCTCTAAATTTTTTTTCAACAAATCAAACACTTTAAATATAGTTCATTTGCTCAGCGTTGCAAAAAGTTTGTGTATAATGAAGTCAAATTGGTTTTTCTGCCTTCTGGGCAAACTAGCAGTTAAATGTTCACCAGCTGAGGTATTTTGGAAGAATGCTATTCAGTAATAATAGTGATAATTTCAAATACTAATTTATTGTGAGACAAAAATAGCACAGAGACCATCTCAGGAAGGGAACTGTCCCATTCTTCAGTCACAGAAACCAGCTTGTTCTGTGCTGTTGGAGCACAGCAACTTGTACTTGGTTTACAAGGTTGGCAGTGGGGAGTATGAGGGAAAAGGTGGTGCCTGGAGAAAACAAAATCTGGGAATCTGAGTCTCCCTGTGACCGCGGTTATAACTCTGGAAAAATTACATGCTGTCAATGGGTATTAAACAGTGAAAAAGTGAGTCTGGAGTTGTAGCAGGAAGTCAGCTGGAGAATGTCAGTCCTGGGTTTCAGCATATGTTAGGGAAGGAGGAGAATGATGTTTCTGTTGTTTGTTAGCAATGCCTGTGCTGGGAGATGGAGGGGAGGTGGCAGAGGGAACCCTCTCTCTGCAGGAGGTTTCTTTGACCGGGCTCTCTTTGAGGACTGGTGAACTTCATGCTGTCAAATTCTTTATGATAATAGTAATAAAAAGGGTGTTTCTGCCTTCCTGCAGTGTACACACACATGTGAAACTGAGATTGATCTTGGTTGTGATTGTTTTCCCCTTGGTTTGAAAAGCTGCTGTGAGTTGCTTTACAGACCCACACACTGTCCCTGTTCCTGGCTGCTGCTTCTCTGTGCTCTGGCTGTCAGGGATGTGCCTGGTTGGGCTGTCAGGGATGTGCCTGGTT